GAAAAAAAAAAAAAAAAAAGAAATGCCTATATGTTTTAAGAGAAGCACGTTGAGGTATATAGGAGTGAAGTGATGTGATATATCTGGGGTGTGCTGTCTATTATTTTAGCAAAGGAACGCGTGGAAAAATGTGTCAAATCTTGATAAGTAGAATCTGTATGATAATTATGTGGGGATCCATTGCACCATTTTTTCTACTTTTATGTTTATGTTAAAATTTTCATAATAACAATTTTTTTTTTTTTGGCGGTGCCGCATGGCATGAGGGATCTTAGTTCCCCAACCAGGGATCGAACGAGAGGCCTCTGCGGTGGAAGCGCAGAGTCTTAACCACTGGACTGCCAGGGAAGTCCCATAACAATTTTTTAATGAAAGATAATGACAGACAATAAGTTTAAATTGCATGGACTGATATTTAAGATAAGATTCATTTTAAAAAGCTGATTACAAATTAGCATATATAGTATTGACTTTTTTGTTTATTTGGTTTTCCTTTTTAAAATATATAAATGTGCCTGAGTAGCTAAAAGCCTGGCAGGCTGTAAACCGAAACATTCATGGCTCTTTTGGTAATGAAATTACGGAGAAAATATATATTCTGGTATGTATCCTCTAAACTTTCTATAATCAACCTGCAGTACTTTTGCTAAAACAACAATTCATGATTCACACACTTCTGTGCTGTTTTCTGCCAAATCTACGGCCGGGATATTGCTGAAACCCTGAAATGGTCGTCTTCACTGGTCCCTTCTGTGTTGAATGCAGGATCACAGGTGGGGTGTCAGGTCTCATCTCTGAAGCCCCTGAGACCCTCGGCTTTGACCTTGACATGCGTCCTTTGGTATCACTTGCAGGGGGGAGGGTGGCCCCTGCTTTAGGCAAAACCCTGGAAGACTTGAGGAAAGAATGCAGTGGAAGTTTGGTCATCTGACATCAAAGCCCTCATGAAAGAGCACATTAAGGGCTGGCTCTGCTTGGGCTTGTGTGACCCAACTTGTTCCCCTGGAATGGGAGTCTCTTTCGTTCCATCTCTCATCAAGCTCATGACCCTCTTTGGACCAGCAATCTAGTCTCCTTGGATCAGCGCCCACCCTTCTCTGCTAATCCTGCTGTCCCAGAAGCTACTAATCTGGCCCCCTCCCTGGCAGGCTGAAGCCCGGGGCAAGGGGCTCTGTCCCGAACAGCACGTTGCCCCCAGGCATGAAGCCGGCACCTGTGGTCCATGGAGACCAGTGTCGTGCATCAAGGCCAGGCTACAGCGAGGTAAACAGCTGGCCTTCCAGGGGCCAGGCTGCATGGCAGAGAGAGGGAGGTCAAGAATAGGCTCAAACAAGGTGGGTTGGAGGGAGGTTGGGAGGGGAGGTACAGAGAGGAATTCTTGCTGTGAAGGGCAAGTGGCTGCTTTTTATCTGAGTCCCCACCATGGGTTGTGGATTTGTGGGAATATTCAAAGAAGGGGCTACAGACCAGCTAAAGGCAAATCCCATCCTTTTGAGGGATGTTGTGTATATCTCGACACCCAAAACAACATTAATTTTCTGTAAAAAGTTAATACGATGGAACACTTAAGATTTGTACATTTCACTCTGTGTAAATTTTATCCCCTCCCCACAAAGTTAAGAAATTTTAACCCTAGGAAATGATTTGCCAGCTGAACTGTTTAGAGGTGAAATTTACTGAAGTCTGCAACTTACTTGGAAATGGAAAAAAAAAATTAAGATGGACTGATGGATGGATAAATACATGATAGAAGAAATATAGTAAAATGTTATATGTAGGGTCCAAATGGTTGGTAATTGGATGGTCTCTTTAAAATTCTTTGAACTTGTGTGCCTGTTTGAGGATGGTCCCAATAAAATGTGGGGGAAGAGTTTACTAGATGTGATGGGACATTCCAGAGCTGAATGGTTCTGAGAACCCACAGCGATGGACTAGCGATTCCTCAGAATGTGCTGGCTCACTCACCACGAAAACAAATCAGAGTTTGGTCTTCCCACTTTCCTGTGCCCACAGAGGAGCTACACGGAGGACGGAGGCAGGGTGGACCCGGGAAGGCGTCCTGTCGTGGGTGTTGGGAGCCCTGGTTCTACCAGGTGATCCACAGGACCCCTCTGTCTCAGGCCCTGGTGAACAGGCCTCGATGGTTCTGTGTGCAAACCAGACAGGTGATTTGGGGAATTGACCGTCATCCTTTTTTTTTTTTTTTTTTTTTTTTTTTTTTTTTTTTTTTTTTTTTTTTTTTTTTTTTTTTTTTTTTTTTTTAAATATTTATTTATTTGATTTACTTGGCTGTGCCAGGCCTTAGTTGTGGCCCGTGGGATCTTCGTTGCTGCTTGCGGGATCTTTTTACTTGTGGCATGTGGGTTGTAGTTCCCTGGCCAGGGATGGAACCCGGCCCCCTGCATTGGGAGCATGGAACCTTAACCACTGGACCACCAAGTCCCCGTCATCCTTTTTTTTTTTTTTTACATCTTGTTCTTTCTGTCTTCCCAACACTGGGCTTGGAGTCTGGCACCTTTCCCTCTGGATTCACAAAGTGCCTGTGTTTGGGCCAGTCCTCTGAATCTTCAGTGCCTCCCCCCAGGCCATCGGGAGCCTGTGTTTATAGAAGGAGGGTAATTGAGCCCAACGCAGAGAGAGGGCAGGCAGGCAGGGTCTCCGGGAGCAGCACAGCCCTCTTGGTCTCCTGCAGGCTCTCAGGAACCATCCCAACCTAATTTCTCCTAGTACCCCAGGAGATGGGGCCAGCCTAGGTGTCTTCTCCTGTATCTTACTGAGATGTAAATTGCCATAGATGCAGTAATTTATGTTCTCTCCAGGACAGACGGCCATAAATTGGGAAGAGAAAGGCCCCGGCTGCCTGACATAAATCACGGAAGCGAAGCAAAATGGTGTCAGGAGTATCCTCTCTGCTCTCTGGCTCTCCGGCAGGATGCTGGGAACCGCACTGCCTTCCCTCTTCCTGGGTCCCCCGTGCCCAGGGCTGTGCTGCTTCGGGAATGCAAGTTCTCAGCAGGGAGACCACTGCTGAATAGCTATGGGCCTCAGGCCCAGCGGAGCCTTTGTCTGGGAAATACTCACAGCCCGAAGCACGGTGGAGGCTGGTTTGCTGGCTTGAAAATATGAAGAGGGAATTATTCTTTTCTTTCTGAAGGGAGAGTGGCTCCCACACTGATCCCACAGGAGTGGTGGGGGTCTATCGCTGTTGCTTTCAGTAGAAAGAATAAAGCTCATTTGTTCTGTGGATGCACTAGTTTTGTTGGATGCAGGAATACTTGGACAGTAAGGGCGTTTGCCGCTCTCCGCTTGTGTTAGGCTGTGCTGTGCCGAGCTAAAGACAGAAGGATTTAGTGGTAGTGATGCCATGGAAGGAGACAACCGCCCCCCAGCCAATCTGGCTCTATCACCTCCCAGTAACTGTGTGACATTGGCAAGTCAGCTATGTTCTTGATGCTTCAGTTTCTTTATTTGTAAAAACTGGGCTAATCATACATCTCCTGGTTCACACTCCTCCTTGATCCGAATAAAGCAATAAATACTGTTTTTCTAATAGATGATAAAATACATAACGACCATCTAGGCTATGGTTATTGATAGTCTCAGCTTATGAACTTGACACCTTCTGAGAGAGGGAAAATCCTGGAGACACTTCTTTCCATTTTCTGAGGCTGCATTAAACGCAACGCAGCCCAACGTGCTCAGCCTTTGTCTCCTCCTCTCCGTGGTGTCTTCACGGTGCTGTTTTATTCCTGATCTGGCCGTATACATAGCAAGTTGGGAGGTCCCAGAAGTGGCCTGTGCCCCTCGGTGGGGACCCAGCGGTGATCAGAGACCCTGCCTGCAAGTCAGGGTCTGGGCATTGACCAGTAATGAGTAAACCAAGCAGCCCTCACCGGTGCACAGCACTTTATAGGTAACAGTTTCCACTCACACCGCGCCCTTAAGGATGGAGACCTCGTGTTTAAGATAAACAGAACGTCTCATGTCTCCCACTAGAGTCAGTCGTTTGCTTCATATTTATTGAAAGAGAAAATGCACCAAGAAAGGCGTTTTAAAATGGATTTGTAATTTATTAATCCCATCGTCATCAACAACAAAATATATATATTTGGAGAAAAAAAAAATCACAGGCGATCCGTGTATGAGGTAATGCTGTGTTTTCCCTCTCTTGAGTAAGTCTGGGTGTGCCCGTGAATTCACAGACCGCTGACAATACCGCCTCAGCCCCACAAGGGGTCGCCGTTGATCTCGTTTGTAGAGTCTCCTCCGTAGCCCTGCAGGGACGGTGTCAGCAGGGGCGCAGGTGGAACGGAGCTGGGGCGGCTGGCAGGACAAGCCGGTCGCCTCGCCCCTGTGACTGTCACCTGCGTTTGTCCCTGCCCTCCCCGCCCCCCCCCCAGCAGGTTAAGGTCCTGGGCTGGGAGGGGCGACGGCTTCTGTGGGTCCTCCGCTCCTAAGTTACCTGGTGCGGGGGGCGGGGGAGTGAGTGTGTGCCTGCGTGGTTGATGGGAAGCGGCAGGGGAAACCCGCGCGTGGCCGAACGTTCGTGTAGGAGAATAAATATTAACCCCCTGAGCTCTTCTCAGGCCTGCGCGTGTACTCAGGAGGTATAAGGAAGACCAGGGATCACATCCCTGGTGGGAAAAGTCCTGACTCTGGAGTGAGCCAGACCTCAGTTCCGGCCCCAGCCTGACCACTTAGATCTGTGAGCTTGGCCAAGTCCGTCACTCCTATGCGAGCCCCCCTGTAAAGTGGGGATGATACGCATTCCCACATAGACTTGTTGGAAGGATTAAGGGGTAAACTGTGTGATGTTCTTCATAAAGTGTCAATGTATGATGCCCGGAACTCCAACTCTCAGTTCCCTCCCTGAGATAGTCAGAGCCTCAGGCTACCGAGCTTGCAACAAGGAGAAATCCCAAGCCATAAAAGTAGCCGATCTGCCCGGATCCTGAAGAAGTCACCCAACCAACGGACACAGATCCCCAGATGTCCTTGGTATTGCATGCTGACAGAGGAGAGGCAGGCTAGGAGAGGTGCCTGCTTCCCAGGGTCCAAGGTCATTGCAGAGGCCTGGCTACAGGACTGGCTGGATCAGCTGCTCATGGT